GCATCTGAATGTCATGGTGATCAAGGTAGAATATGAATTATTAGGATATTTGATCATATTAATGAGTTGGAATCAATGCTTCTTAGAGAAACTATAACTCTATTATAGGTACATGGTGCAAAAATCTTAGACATGAATATTTATGACCACACTTATTAACTGTCCAATTAGGCACAGTCACCTTTCTATAGGTAGTCATAAAATACATATTTTATGATACTTGGACATTCACTTTGTCAGACTCAACAATTATCAGGCATCAGTTTTTTAAAGGAAAACTTATTGGTCAAACTGTTAAAAAATCTAATCAAATGTGAACTGGAAGAAAGATTGGCCATATTCAACTAAGCAATGGAACCATTTTCCAAGTTTTCAGCCCACCATTGTATAGTTTGAGAACTATTGCTCCAAAGTCTGTATTATGGTTTGTTGATTAATAATCTAAATAGTAGGTAAAGATGGTGACTACATTTTCAATCTGTGAATATATAATTTTGAAAAATAGAGAACATAAAAATTCACTCAATAATGTACTTTTTTAAACAAATGCATATTATAAAAATGGTGCTTATTTTGAACAAATGTTTTGATGATGCATTTGCTCTGCAATAATGTATGTGTTAAGAGTCATAAACATAACTGAAATATTAATTTTGGAACGAACTCCAATAAAAATGTTAAATAAATAAAAACATACCTACATAAATACAAAAATAAATATGTAAATCAATAGCTAGCAATTAAAAAAATGTTAAATAAGTCTGACATTTGTTAGATCCCCATGAGTCGATTTGACAATGTCAATTAACTGGCTGACACGGTGCTTTTTCCACTCTGGTTATTTGAAAGCGTTTTTGTGACACATTAATCTCTTTAAGAGGTTTTCCTCTCCCCTTAATCTCCTTGTTCTATTCTGGCTTTTATAGATTTTTTTTCTCTTGTATGTTATATCCTGATTTCTTTTTTTTTCTTCTTTGTAAACAGTAAGAATATTTTATCTTTTCTAACTCACAGAGTTGGTGCCAAATTATTTGTCCATGAGGGAATATCCTTAAACACTAAAGTATTATATGTATGTTATTATTATCCTTTTCATTATTATTTAATCAAGCAAAATGCGGTGAATCAGCTGGCTCGCTGTACAGATAAAGTGGTTTCTACAGATGTTTCTTCTCAAGCTGATTATCTGTGTTTATCTTTGGGTAATGATAATAATTATATAATTAGCTAATGACATTTATCAGGTTCTTAATATACACCAGACACCACAGTAAGCATTTTTCAAGCATTTACTTAATCTTCACAATAATTATTTGGTAGATACGAGTTTGCATCTGATTTTTCTTTTTAACAGTTGAGAAAGTTAAGACCTAAAGGAATCTAATCACTTGCTGAGGTCATAGGGCTCACAAGTAGACAGAGCTCAGGTTTGCTTGATTCTGGAGGCCAAGTTCTTGTCTATATTATGCGTGCAGTTCTAAAGCACTACCATATAGGATGAAGATCTATAGCTGAGAATTTGAGAAAGTAATAAAATTTTGGCAAAGCTAAACGAGAGTGGGTTCATACTCCAGATCAACACATGTAGATTTAGTCACATTTTCAACCACTACCATTTTTGGCACATAAAAAGATGTGTGTGTGATTTTTTTTTTTGATATGTGTATAAGCAATGATTAAGCAAATGGTATCTCTGAGTGACCTTAACTTTTCACAAAGAAATTCACACTAATTCTATCTGTACCTTGTTCTCTCCCAATTACAAACCAGATTCTTAAAAATCAGAATGAAAAAAAAAAATCCCTAGGGTGATTTAACTTAGGTATTACATATTTTGTTTTTTAACTGACAACAATATTTCCAAATATCTCTTGCCCCTATTTATCTGTCCACTTAACTTCAGACCTTACAGACATTCTTTACTGGAAAGAGGAATCAGGTTTTCTCTTCATATTTGTGGGAATGTAACACTCCATTTCTTAGGATTCATAGAGATGGAACTTAACATTCTTTATTTTAAAACTTTTGATGATGGCTATTTGAGTGTACCAACAAATCCAACATCTCTACCATGCCCTCCGACTTATGTTTCTACATCCTTGCTCTACCCTTGAACCCATCACACCTTCATGCCATTCTCTCTGCTTGAAATACTCTTTATTCTCTGCATGGTGAAGTTATTTATCCTTAAAAGCTCATTCAAAGAGTCTGACCTCGTCCTAACCACCCCCCACCCAAAAGTATAAAGAAGTTTTCTTTTCAGGCTTCTGCAGCACAGAAGCTGGTAGATAATGGGAGGGAAACAATGATTTATGGAATTGTCAACTTCATTAAAAATGAATTAGAGACTGATCTACCTGTCAGGAGGCCTCCTCTCTTAGAAAATTTAGAGCTCCTTGTTTAAATTTCAAACACTCATTCCCCTTGTGGCTATAATTGGCTTGGACAAGCAATAGCCAAATGAACATATGTGGACAGTAGATGCCAAATAATGCAATTTTATTGAAATATTCATGTGGCTTTTTTGTTGGCGGGAGAGCATACTGTTATCTCACCATATACACTTAGTTCGAAAAATGCAGCATAAGGAAAAAACCAGATCCCATCTGCCAGACAAAATAGCTATAAAGTGGAGAAACCAGGTTTTTAATGAATCCATTGAGAGTAACTTGAGTTATTTTTTAATGTAAAAGCAAATAAACTCGTGAGCAGAGCTGCATAGCCATGTAGTATTCTTTTAATTTACAGCTAGGCCAAATCCAGATCCTGGTTTTAGCTAAATTAGAATGTTCCCAGAAGAGAGAATGATTAGACAATACAAATGAGCTCTAAAATCTGGCTCATTGTCTAAGGGGACTAGAATTCCACCCTCAATTCAAGACAAGTAAACATTTCTCCGTATATTCATGAAACTCACTGCACAACTTGGCTGGATTTTTCTGTTTTCTTTAGCACATGTCCACAAAAACAAGAGCTCTTCCATATTCCACTCTGAAGGAGTGTAGGAGAAGATCAAACACCTGTTCTTTCTTCTTTCTTGGCCAACGTTGTCTGTCTCCATTTTCATACTTCTATTTTAATGAGTGCTTTTTTTCTACTAATAGACTCATTTGAAATATAACTCATTCAGTTGATTTTAATGATTAACAAAGAAAGATTCTTTAACAACAAGGTCCCACTGTATAGCACAGGGAACTATATTCAGTATCCTGTGATAAACCATAACGGAAAAGAATATGAAAAAGGATATAGATATATATATATATATATTTTTATATATATCTGAATCACTTTGCTGTACAGCAGAAATTAACACAACATTGTAAATCCACTATACTTCAATAAAATAAATTTTAAAAATAAATTTTAAAAAATAAAGATTCTCTATATTGATAAAAATTAATTACAATGTACATTGTGTAAAGCAAGACATTGTAAGCAATCAGAGGTATTTGGGATTTGTCACTCTTGAGATGCATTGTTTTCCTTAATACTTCACAGCATGGAGAAGAACTCTGCAGAAACATGACTTTGAATCCTTCATTTGTCCTGTCCCAATTGAGTATCTTGGACTGTAGTTTAACATGCCTGTCTCAGGAAGGGAATAACTCAACTCAGGTCCCATCTGTTTTACAGGCTGATGTGGGTGTGTTCATGTTATCATCATGAAGCCCTACAGGTCGTTTGCATAATTACATATGAAGGCATTTACAAAATTCTGTGCCTTTTAGAGTCAGGAAACCTTAGGTTGTTTCCCAGCTCTACCTCTGGGCAGCTGGGTGATCAAAGCAAAATACTATCTGTTAAACTACATTTTCCTCACCTGGACAGAGAGGGAGAAATTTCTTCACTCAAAGTTAATGAGATGTCTAAATGAAAACAGCACAGTGCCTGGAACACATAGATACTCAATAAATACAAGTGGAATTTGGACTAAGTAGTATAAGAAAATCATCTGAATCATCTCTCTAGGAATTAAGTCTTTGAGTAGAATAAGTATAAATATCGAAATTGCCCAGAATTTTACATATATATATTCTATTATTTTTACTGGAAGATGAATGGTTATTGGTATTTGTAACAATGTTTCTAATACTATTTGGCTGGTTCCTAAAAGAATGGTGTTACAGAATATTTGCTTCCTATCTGGGGCTGACAAGAGGTGAGGATATCACACTCGCTGGGGATCACACAGTGGGCCTCCTCAGCTAGGGGGCTGGGATGTCTGGGAAGGTGAATCAGAGAATGTCTTGTGCCATTTTTGAGTAAGATGGTGTGGAAACTGATGGCATAGCGAAAGGGATGGATAGCATGCATCATGTCTAAATGTGCAATCAGATGAGTGATAGAAATCTGAGCCCATCTTATTCTTTCTGATTTGTCTTAAGCCCTTACAAACCCCAAGCCAAGTGAACCCTGCCCTGCCATTATAATACAAAACACATTATGGTAAATTAGACAGGTCACTATATTCTGTCACTTCTATTCTTTAAATTGGAGGCTTTATCATGAGGAATTTACTGCTCTTTTAGCATTGTTTTCAAGGGCGATTTGCCCCTGTGACTCCCAGCCCAAGTCAGCATCTCCTGTCAATGTGGGAGGGAAGTGGGAGCGGGGTGGGGGAAAGAAAAGTGAGGAAAAGAAAAACCAAGACTCCTGACCTCTAGAGTGTTGGGCAAATATGTTAGCAGTGTTTAAAATAATAGAATCCAAGGGTTGAAAAGACCTTAAAAACCCCATAGTCTTAGTTCTCACTCAGTGAAGCAATCATTTTTATAACCATATGTCTGATATCCATCCAACCTCTTCTTGAATGCCTTCAGTAATTCTTGAATATCAATCTGTTCCGTTGTTACCAGAAATGTCTTTTTAAAATTAAGACAGGTGCTAAACTCCATAGAACTTCTAGTCTTTGGAAAGTAAGTCTTGTTACTCCTCTACTTGACAGTCTTTCGAAGGGTTGAAGCTAGCTTTTGTTTCATTACTCTTTTTTTCTCCAGGTGAAAAAGCATCGGTGCTTTAACCGCTCCTGATATCCTCTGCTAACATCCTCTGAAAGTGCCCCAGATAAACAGTGAGTCCTTTTCATAATTACCGAAGCTATAGCTGTTGTTTAAAATAAATGATTATATAAAACAGTTTTTTCTGAATACTTAAGTAATAATATTCATTGTGTCAAATCACCCATAATGTCACCCCAAGATAACCACTGTTTACATTTTCATGTGCTTCTTTTCATCTTTACATACTCTATATCATTTTTATAGAATGGATTATATACAGAATTTCGAACCCTGCTTTTCTTCTAATGTTATGTTTGAACAATTTCCTATCTCCTTAACACTCTTTGAGAAGATGTCTGCAGTAATTCATCCTAAATCTAGCATTCTAAATTCTATCTTGATAATATCTTCTTCTTGACCCCTTGACCCTAAGTATCTACAGAAATTCTTTTTGAAGCACTTTGTCAGCATCAAGACTTTGGCTATAAAGACTTGAAGCACTTGGCAGGTAATCATTGATAACAAAACACTTCAGGTACAATAGAAAGCCAGTGTTTTTTTGTTTAGAAAGTTGGTTGAAACTGAGAACACTTCTCTCTCCTTTGTTGACCAAGTCTTCCTTATTGAAAAGACACTTCTGAAGCAGATAAAGAAATTTACACTCTCTATTCATAAGGTATTTAATCTTTGTATTCTCATGATGACACTGAGGGCCATTAGCCAAGGAGACTCTCTCCTGATGACAGAGGTGGATCCCCAGTGAAAGGAATCAAGTGAAGGTAAAGCAGCACAAGTCTTTGTAACCATAGTTACTTTAAGTCTAAGATTATAAACGTATTGTTTCCATTATGAAAGATGCATTAACATTCCTGTTTGTCCAGTCTTAGAAACCTTGTTATCATGGCTAGCCTGTTTACTTACTTATCTCTTAAGGGATGGCTAGGCTTAATTAACACTTAAACATTAACCTTGAAGATATGTCCTGGGAGTGCCAGAGAGGGGGGATAGAATTCTTTGAAAATGGGATGGAGTAATCTCAAAGAAATGCTGAAATTCTGAGAGAAACAAAAACTTTATCTTATGAGCCTCTTCAAGAATTTGCTCCTACCAACTCGGAAGATTCTAGAAATGACCACCTATGTCATTATACATGCACCTGAATGAAGTGAAGGGTGAAATGGGGGGACTTTGGAAAGTAATCCTTAAAAAACAAGATTGCTATATACTTTGCAGCTAATCATTCATCTAGTTGTAGCAGATGTTTTCTTGTAAGTAGTAAAAAAAAAATATTCCCAGTAACCACTGGAATGATTCACATATTCATAACAATGAAGTAGAATGTTCTTTAATGACTAGGCTGTCACCACATTTAGGGAAATTGCTTCCTCAGTTATTTTCTCCCTTTGTAGCAAACATCCTGAAAACCATACTGTACTATCATTTGCATGAGAAGTTGGCTATTGTAAACCACTATATCAATTATGGAAGTATTGTAGTGTTGCTATTTCCGTGGGGATTTTCAAAGAAAGGATACCAGTATGAGTTGTCTCTAACCATTTATAATAAATTTCCAGGGTTAGGAGTTTTCAACTGGCTTTTCAAAAATATTATAAACTCTAGTGTTAGACTTTGGAGATTTGAGATCTTCTCTAAAGTTTCTTTCTGCCTTGTAAAGCAAGGAGAAACTTAACTTTCACTCAGAACAGGACTATATTAGTCAATATGATAACCCTCCCCAACATGACTCCTATGCATCCTGCAGAATTTAACTTTCTCAAAGGAACCTCCTGTTTTGCTGTGCTAAGTTAACCAACCCACGACCCCATTACCTGATCACATCTTACACCCTCAGTACCCTAAAGTTCTTCATGTAACTTAGCACACTTTTAATGCTCACTCAGTACCTGTCTTCTCCATCAAGTTTAAAACTATATCAAAACAGGGACCTTATCTATGCTTTCTCAGTGGTGTTTCCTCAGAACCAAACATAGCGCTTTGCACGTGGCTGGCCCTCCATAAATGTTTGTTGAAAGAATAAAATCGAGGCATTACATATACCTAGAGTTTTTGAAGCATGAACTTTTCTATAATACCACATTACTAGTTTTATATGAAGAGTATATCATACTTTGGAAGGCAAAATCTAGTACATCTGAATTGAGGCATGCCCATGGTTAGTGACACAGTTTGCCACCTGGGGGGGAAACTCAAAGTTATTTCCCTCTCACTCTATTCTCTATTCTACCTCAGGAGGAAGATAAACATGAAGAAAGGGCAGTATTGGGTCATGCCCAAAGGTACAAAACCCTCCATGTGACGAAAAAAGAGGTTAAAACATCTTGTGTTCTGCTAGTAAATTTTCTTTGTAATTAGGAACCAATTTTCACACTCTTGGTAACTGAGAATACATGCTCTAGTAGAGAGAAATTGAGACTCTATGATCAAAGGAAGCCTTTTAAAAGTATATATTATTATTTCTAATTATCTGGACCAGAATATTTGCTTTTGTACCTCAAATACTAGTACTGTTTTGTTTTAAATAGAAATTATATAGCAAAAATTTTAAATTATCCTCTTTGTAGAGTCTCTCTATTTTCAGAGTATTGAAATAGTTATTCCAGTCTGAAAAGAAGAGGCAAATCTCCTGTGCAGAAGAATTTCAAAAAATGTCCGTAGATACTCTACCCCAAAGGAGATGGAGCATAACTTCCCATTACTTAGGCATGGGCTGTGCATAGTGACTTCTTTCCAAAGAATATAGTATGAAAGGCAGGGTCTAGGAATAACTTAACAGCAGAGAAATCTGACAAACACTTCCTCATGTAGGTGAACATCAACAGGGATGTCATGTTGGTAGTCTGTACCCTTGATATGATGTGATGAAAACGATACCTTACTTCTGTGGTCTTCCCCCTAAAATGCAACGTCACAGCCTAATCATGAGAGAAACATCAGTCAAATTCCACAAAATAACTGACCAATACTCCTCAAAGTGATCAAGGTTATCAAAAACGAGGAAAGTCAGAAATTGTCACAACAAAGAGGAGCATAAGGAAACATGACAATGTAGCATATGGTATCTTGGATGGGATAGGACACTAGGTTAAAACCTAGGAAACCTGAGTAAAGTGTGTGCTTTAGTTAATAATAATGTATCAGTATCAGTTCCTTCTTGGTAACAAGTGTGCCCTACTAATGTAAATGTCAATAGAGGAAGCTGTATGGAGGAATTCTCTGTAGTACTTTGTAATTTTTCCTTAAATCTAAAATTGTTCTACATTAGAAAGTTAATTTTTTTTAATGACTCTTCAAACCTTGGAAATTTTACTAGATTAAAATTCTTATGGTCATAATTTGAATTCTATTTACTATAGTTGTTCTTAAAAGAATATGGACTGTATTAGCTTCCTAGGGTTGCTATAACAAAGTACCACACGCTGTGTGGCTTTAACAACAAAATTGTCTTATAGTTCTGGTGTATGGAAATCTGAGATCACAATGCTCAGGAGGGCTGGTTCTTTCTGAGGGCTGTGAAGAAACATCTGTTCCATACCTCTTGCCTGGCTTCTGATGATTTGCTGGCCATCTTTGGCATTCCTTAGCTTGTAGATGCCTCAACTTAATCATCTCCGCATGGCATTATCCCTGTGTGCATGTCTGCTTCTGTCCAAATTTTTGTTTTATAAGGACACTAGTCATATTGGATTAGGGTCTTCCCTAATGACCTCATCTTAACTTAATCATCTCCAAAGACCCTATTCTCAAATAAAGTCACATTCAGGTTATGATTTCAGTGTCTCTTGGAGGAATACGTTTCAACCCATAACGAACACAGTCTTTGAATTCTAAGTGTTTGTTCATCTAGGAAGTCACCTCACTCATTGGATGACCATATGAGAGGGGTAGGGTAAGGATGGTACTAAAATTTTCTTCTAAGGCTGTATCTGCTACTTACTGAAAGTGATCCTGGAATTAACTAACTACTGACCCTTTTATAGGGCCAATCAGATTCAGTCTTTATTATATTTGAGTTGATACAATCATAGCTAAATCTAGAAATGTAACTTTTAGCTACTTTTTTTTTTTTTTTTTGCGGTACGCTGGCCTCTCACTGTTGTGGCCTCTCCCGTTGTGGAGCACAGGCTCTGGACGCACAGGCTCAGCGGCCATGGCTCACGGGCCTAGCCGCTTCACGGCATGTGGGATCTTCCCAGACCGGGGCACGAACCCTGCATCGGCAGGCGGACTCTCAACCACTGCGCCACCAGGGAAGCCCTTAGCTACTTCTTAAATTGATAAGAATTTTTAAGCTCAAATGAATATAAGTACATCGGACTTGGATGTGCATACTTCTCTCTTCTTGTCCCCACTCCATCTTCCCAGCTTCCAACCATGTTCAATAGTCAAAGAGTTCAAATATGATTATAAAGCACAGAAACTGATCAATCTTAAAGAATTTTTCAAGACATAGTTCCAAGAAATCTGCTCAGCCCAGCCAAACCTTTTGAAGTTGATCTGTTGGTAGTCAGGAGTAAATTATAGACTCCTCAATCGACCAGACTTATAAACCCACTTATGTGGTTATTTATCCTGTCTCCCTTTGGACCTGTTACAGTGGATACACTGCTATTACTTCTTTTAAGACTAATGTATCAATTTGAGCTTCAAGTCACATCCTTTCAAAGAACCACAAAATAAACAATATAAATAAGTAAAATATGTACTTTAGACAGTGTGTTATATAGTAATAATTGTTAAGGAGAAAAATAAAGCATGGAAAGGCAATATGAAATGTTAGACTTGGAAATTCTAGATAAGGTGTGCAGGAATGGTCTCATTGAGAAGGTAACCATAGAGTAAAGAACTAAAGGAAATGGAAATTTAGACATGTGGATATCTGCAGGGAGACAACCAATAACGTCCCGGGCAGAGGGAATAGCTAATGTGAAAGCACTAAGGAAGGGGCATGCCTGGCATGTTCGAGGACAAGGTAGATGAAACAGAGAGAATGAAGGGAAGAATACTGAGATGACATCAAAGAGCTACCTGGAGCTAGTGGGAAGCAGCCGCATAGCACAGGGAGATCAGCTCGGTGCTTTGTGACCACCTGGAGGGGTGGGATCGGGAGGGTGGGAGGGAGGGAGATGCAAGAGGGAAGAGATATGGGAACATATGTATATGTATAACTGATTCACTTTGTTATAAAGCAGAAACTAACACACCATTGTAAAGCAATTACACTCCAATAAAGATGTAGAAAAAAAAAGAGCTATCAGGGAACCAGATCATTTAGGAGGTTGTTCAACATACTATTTTGGTTTTTACTCTGAGTGATGTGGAAATCCATTGAACTGATTTTGAAAAGAGGAATGATAGGAAAATAATTATGTTTTCTGGGTAGAGAGTAAATTATGGAGAACTA